CATGATGAAAGATCAAGTCTGCTAAAGACCACAATTGATCAATTTTAATTAATGTTCATCCCCCCCTTTTTTTAATTCCAAAGTATTTGTAACCAGTTAAGACTAAATTTGTCTTGTAATTTATAAAACTTGTATTGTGCTCCAAGTAAATATGTCATTTTTGTCATCCTCATTCTAACAAATAACCTCAAGAATAAGAAAAAGTAGACACAAATATAGTTTCCAATTTTCATTGGAAGCTGTGATCAATAAAGCAAAAATTTCTAGAGTTTCAAAACCACAAATGTCACTCCGGGTTTTTAACATTACCTTCAAAATCTTAAGTAAAAAATCTTCTCACTGTACAAGCAGACGATTCTGCTAAAATACAATTTGATATCAATTTATCATTTTTGTAATCATTATTATTTTTATTTATTTTTTTTTTTTTTTGCAGTATGTGTCAAAATAAAGTTATCCAATGCTGGTCACAGTCTCACATGTGTAACAGTTGAAATCTTCCTAAAATCAAACCACTCACCAGTCGTTTTGTTACTGTTTTCTTTTCTTTTTTTCAGATTTTCTGCTTACTCAAGGATCTATGCAAGTATAAGACAATGCTGTAAGTTTCCTTAGATTGATCTCTGTTTTAGTTATAAACAAAACATTTACTTGTTTCTTCTACAAAGTTTGAAAATAAGAAAAAAAAATCACAAAATCTATTCACTATAGGTTGGACAATAAAATGATGTCAAATTTACATAGCGTTCATCAAACCCATCAAAGACTCCGCATTAAGACCAGTCATTCCCACTCTGTTCCATTAACAAGCTCCAGGATGCAACAACAGCTTCAGGCTGAACACAACTGGGTGGGCGGCTTATTGACCACTCAACCAAGAAATAAAGCAACATTATTCTCAGTAATTTAAGGTATATTTTCACATCAGCTGATCTTTTCTTTTCAAATAGTCTATCTGAATTACATCTTCTCAAGAACGTCACCCAGAAGCGTTAGTTCATTTACTTATTTTACAACATTTCAAAAGATTCTCATTTTACCTGTTTAAGTATTTTTTTGTTTCTTACACTAACGTTTGGGATAAAGATTTTGGTTAACTATGATTTTGGAGTTTCCCAATCTTGTAATAATTTTGTTTACCAAATAACCAAAAAGTCATTCTTCGAATCACATATTCCTACTTACATTCAAGCTAAAAGCTTTTTTGTTTGAAGTTTTGCATATAATTTCCGTTAATATTCTTCTGTTTAAGTAAACTTTATTGTAGATTAGTTCTAATATTGCTTTGTTTTGACCAGTTCTATTTTAAATATTTCAATTTATTCATTCAATCTTATTTTTATGTAAACCATGAGTTATAAAATGGCCTATTTTTAACCTAGACTCCTTAATGGAGTCCCTTATAAAGTGCTCTAGGTTGCTACAATCGCCTCACAGGCACACCCACTAGAAGGAAGCAAACGCACTCAGTACAACACTTTCATTCTATTGGCTGAGAGGTTGCCAGGCAACTGTGCCAAAAGGCGTTTCCAAAAGCCAGCAGAGACTGTGAGACAGGAGAAGTTTTGAGAACAATCATTACAAGTTTTGAGAAGAAAGACATGAAGTCCTGCTTTCAGACTGAAAGTGTGTGCTCTTGAACTATGGCAGAAAAATTTCCCCGTAATTGTTCTGCTGTCTGATTATACTGTTTTTTTTTGTTTTTTTTTTATTTTGGCTGAGTAGGCAACTATCTCGCCTCTGATGTAGGCCTTAAGCCCAGTTCACACTGCACAATTTTTTGCCCCGATTTTGCCCTTACGACAATCTTCTAAGATTGTCGCTTGCGATAATTGTAACCGATCATCCTGCACTGTGTGGTGTGCTACAACTGATCAGGTCCAGTCGGTAGAACGATGGGACCGCTGCGATCTAAAATCAGGAATATTTAACATGTTTGCCTTGGCCCGATGATCTCAAATTTTTTGTCAGGGGGCCCACGATTTCTGGCAGTGCCCCTGGTTAATCTATTTGTAGTCTAAACAGAAGGGCAAATAAAGAAAAACATAGCTGCAGAAGTTCATTAAACTATGACAAGCAAAGTGCACAAATATTGCACACGCGGCCCCAGGAGCGGTGGAGGTGAGGTCAGAAAATTTGCAATTAACTCACCATACGGTTTCAATAAATGGAGCTGGAAGACGTTACCCTTCCACGATCAGTTGGGAAAAAAATAAGCATAACTGGCATCTGGTTTTCTAAAAGCGAATACGCAGGACATGCACTCTTCTAGCTCAATCTGGTCAGATCTCTCAATTATTCAGCTTTCTGAAACTAGAACCAGTACATGCACATATTCTACATCAACAGAGCCAAAAACTTAAAAATGTATAATTAAACGGTTACAGTTAATGAAACAACAGAACAGAAAATAAATTAAACCCAGTGTAATGTTTGTTAAACGGGGGAAAAAAATACAACTCACCTCCATATTGTAGTGCAGCAAATATAAGCCTTGATCGTGCTCTGATCTCCAGTTCCTAATCCAAAGCTTTAACTTTTTATTGTGTCTTTTTTCCATTAAAATAAACTACAGTTACTGCTTCAACATCATTGTCCATGTTTGCTTACTCTAAATCCAGGCGTGGTATCGTGGAATTTTACGGGATTTCATATCTGCAGTTGGAATGTTCATGAGTGAAACCTCACACTCTACGATCGAACACGTTATGCCTGCGATTTTTAAAGGGCTGGTGTGTCGTCTCTCACGTTTTGAAAATCAGCCGACCATTGGCCGACAATTCTAAAATCGTGTAGTTTAAGGGCATCCTATACTACAATGCTGGAGGTCTCTTGGAAGGAGTTAGTATCAAAAATGACATGAATAAACTTTAGGAAAGTGAGGAAGGGGTGCAGGGAGCGGGTGAGTGGGCACACAGTCCGTATTCAGATAAAACGGTTTGGATGACTGATGCAGACTTGTTGTGACATTACTTTTAAGGATGAGCGGTCCAAACCTGGGTCAAGCCAACAGTTGAAATCACCCACTAAACCAGCGAGTATTTATCAAGATCAGGTAAAGAAAATAATTGTTAAAAAAAAATCTCATCACTTGTATAAGGAGCATAAACATTCACCAGGGTGTCCAGAATGTTGTACAGCCGATAAACCTGCCATGTTTATCAGCTGCGACATTACCGGCCTGAGATGTAATATTCTGGCTGATCAGTATGGAGACCCTCATGCTTTAACCTGAAAAAGTGAATGAAAACATTGTCCCTCCAGCATGCCAGGAGACGCCCACCGTCACAACTTCTGATGTGAGTCTCCTGTAGAAACGCCACATCTGTATTAAATCATTTAATGTGGGAGAAAACCTTCAGAGATTGAGCTTCCATTCATGACATTTGTCAAAAAATGACGACACAGTTCAGTATTCCTCATTGAAGCTTTAAGAGAACAGTGTTAGTTATAGGGCCAAACAGTCATTGGATGCTCACAGATGTATCGGTTCTTCACAGCATTGTCTTCTGCCCTCCAGCTCTCTGTGGCTTTTTTTCGTGGTATATGCAGCGCTGCTCCGGAAGTATGGGGAATCCCTTTTATCCAGAAACTTTAAGAAAGAAACAAGGACCTCAGAACATTTATAAAATAAAAATTGTACAGTAGCTTATTGACATCAAACTGAAAACTGTCAGCATGTGTTGTTGTCTCTATATGAATAAAAACACTCGAAAATAAACTAGACTTGTAGAAAATAAGTGTTTTACAAACTTGGAAGATTGGATTTTAAAGATCTAAATGCTTTACCAAAGATCTATTTTTTTAAAGGATTATCTTGGATCTATTCTTAATTTGACAAGAAAGTGGGTTGTGAGAAAGAGGGAAGACATGCGGCAAAGGTGAACAGGTCGGGACTCAAACCTGTGGTAGCTGATAGCTGAGGCGTCGGTACACGGGTCGAGCGCTTTACTCCAGCGCCACCGCCACACCCTAAATGTCCTTGTTTTTACAGTTGAATCTAAAATTATTCAACCCCATCAGCAATTCAGGATTTTGGTACATCTGACATTTTCTTAGATGTTTAAGAAATAAGTGACACTATACGAAGCTAAAAATTCAAATAAACCTAAATATTTTATCCAAATTCAACATAAAGAACTACTTTCAATGATGAAGTCTAAAAATTACTCCNCAGGGGGCCCAAGATTCCTGGTGGCGCCCCTGCTCAGGTATGTTGAAGAAGAGACACATCTAAAAGTTGCAGGAGACCGGTCCTCAAGGCCTGGAGTTGCCCACCCCTGTTCTAGTGGCATGGGGTGGTAACACAACGAATATAATTACATTACTAATCAGAATACCATTTAGTCTTCATTATTTATTAGTCCTGGCATGACTGGAACCGTTAAAAATAGATTCTCTAATAAAACACCACTTCTTATTTTCTTAATGATGCAGAGCTAATTAAAGGACAAGACCTTTATACATTATAAATATCTATATATATTCATTGGTTATAGGGGGAACAAAATAAATTGTAAAATACCATTTACCATGTATACATAAGAAACTTAATTGAGCAAAAGTCAATAACAAACAAGAAGAGTAACAAATCTGGTTGTTACAACCGGGGCTGTTAAACTGTTTACAGTGCCATGTTAACCTATCTGGTCTTTCATTACCCAAAATACCTACATGAGCAGGAGTCCAAAATAATATTACATTTTTGTTTTGTTCACATAATCTATGATGAACAGCCATAACCTCATATATTTTGATTATTTGTACTTCCCTTTTCAGTACTCAACAATGCAGACAATGAATCACTACAAACTAGTATTTTACTTGTGTTAGTGTCCTCCTCCCATTATATAGCTAATTATATAACACAAAATTCTACTGCATTTATACTCAGATAATTAGATGTTTGAAATGTTAATCTAATTCAGGAATCACTACTGCTGTACTCGGCTCAGGAGTTGGAGGCCCAGCTTTAGTTTTAGCATAATTTATCTTATGCTAAAGTGAAAATGGTTTATTTGTAACAAACATGTAAAAGGAGGCAGGTATAAGCTAAGTAGCTTCAGCCTGCACCTTTTTGAATTAAACACATGGATTATTTTTACTTGACCTTGTTTTGAATTTCTTTGATATCTGGAGAGTTAATTTTAACAATAGTGGGTGTGTCTGAGAATT